AAGGGCAGGCGTGTAACGGTACCTCTGCAGCACCCTCTCCAATGTCCAGTGGCTTCAACCCTGGGATGTCCTGAGCCAGTTTGGGATGTTGGGGTTTTTTTCCCATAAAACAGCCCTTAGTGGTTTTCTTCCATGAATTTGTTTAACTGCTTTTTGGCTCAAGTACAATTTTAGAGTCTGCAGCAACCACTGTCTGAAAACTCATTTACACATTCTGTGCAGAAGTACCTCTTCTTGGCCGTTTTGAACTCGCCACCTGGTATTTGCCTTTGATGCAGCCGATGAAGAATGACTATGCTGGTTCAGACTAAAGTTTTTAGTTTCATAATCAAACAGAGGCTGGGTAACAAACTACCCGTGTTTACAACATCTGCTGAGACTTCCTCAGAAACAAGACCTTTTTATAGAGTATCAGAATGAAATTTATTTATGTGAATGGAATGACCAAATCAATGCAATTTTAAGCTTCTTTTCTTAAAGAAGGCTATGCATTTGCACTGTGCATCCGTCATTCAACCTCCCCTCAGTAATTTCTGCCCTTATTGGCCTATATTAACTCCTTTGTCTGAGCTGAAGCAGCCTCAGAACAACTTAAATGTATATACCATAAATCAACATTTTGAGAGTCCAAAGTTAATGACTCCTTTAAGGAAAAAATATCAGTATAACTTCCACATTTATTTAGCCCGTCTGGCTTGCCATTAGCCCCTCAACACCCAGATGGGCCAGCCTGTCTGCCAGTCAGCACATCAGGACAGTTTTGAGTCAGTGACAGTATTTGGTGATATGTCTCAGCTGCTAATAAGGAACTGGGAGGAAACAAAAGGTAATGTGGAAGGTGTTGTTAAGAAGTGTTACTGATGGAGAAGGGAAGAAGTAGAAACACTATGGGAATTCAGCTCAGGGAACACATGAAGACCAACTGAAATTACTGCTACAGGATAGAGGGGGTAGAGACGTAAAGAATTGGACACAAATCCATGGGAAGCCAGGCTTCATTAGTTTTGTTTCTAATTGAGTAAGTTCCTTACTATCAGAATATACTTTTCTGACTAGAAATGAAATATTTACAATATTTACCACCAAAATATTTGCAAAAGTTCAGCAAGTATTTTACAGAAAAGTGATCACCTCTCACTCAATTTACTAATAAATTTAATCTTACTGAAACTTTTTAGTTTATTTTCACAGATTCTGTCATGGAAGAGAAAACCTGTCTATGCACAGATACACTTCTCTTCCTATGAGGTGAGAGTTACTTCTATCTGTAGGACAGCGTGTTTTTATATGAGTGCTACATAGTGGAAACCACCTATAAGTGTTTCAATGGGTGAAGAAAAGAAAGGGTGAAGCAGATGACTGGCCAATTTTAAGACTCATCAATTTTCCTTAAAATTTGTTTTCAGCCATAATATTTTCTTTGAATTTCCTGATTATTCAGCTGATCAGAAAAGCTGGCTTTGAGGAAAGAAGTTTAAATTTGTTTCAATTTTTGTTAAAATTTAATGGTTACTTATTTTTTACAAGCCATAATGCAAACGTGGACACTCTTGTCAGCCTCAGCATAGCCCTAAAACATGAAAAGGGAACAAGTTGCTATATAACAGAGCAGAACTAAATTGAGAGGAGGCTGTGCAACCAGTGCCAGATATGCTCCTGCTAGAGTTGGGATTTATAGCTGTACAATTTGGGGTTGGCACTTTCTCACACTTATGACTTTAGACCATGGGACTCACTTTGAGAAACCTGGTCTTGTGGGGGCTGCCGGGGTCCATCTGTCAGAGAAGGGGAAGAGCATCTTCGGTCATAGGCTTGCCAAGCTGGTGAAGAGGGCTTTAAACTAGAGATGCCGGGGGAGGGGAACCTCAATCCATCCCACTCCTACCAGTTTGATGCTAAGGCCAGCAAGAGATGCCCAGAGCCTGGAGAAGGAACACAGGTCAGCAGGAGAGCACCTGAAGAGCAGCACAAAGGA